AATGATTTAGCTTAGTATAAAACAGGTTGTTCTTGTTGTTCCAAAACATAACTTGAGTAAAGGATTTCTCCTGTGCCTCCTGCAAGTACGCTGCTATAGTTCATTCTCTGGACAACGCCAAGGAAGCGACGATTGCTACTACACTTTAGCTGTTGCTACAACTCTCTCTCTACACACTCGGACCCTTGGATAGGGGCTGACCTAGGTCAGGCACCCAAGGACCCTCGGAGGTGACCCCGAGGAGAGTTCTAGTGCCACCTAAAGCCTGTTGGTAGCTAGCGAAGCACGTTTTAAGAGTAACACTAACCACACCTGTCCCACTGCCATAACTGTAAAGTAGCGTGCCACCACAGCTTCGGGCTGTCCCACGCAATGGCTGGCAGTCGTTGTGGTGTTGCACCCCCAGCCATGCAATGCCCGCGCTGCGTGGGCATCACTCTGTTGGGGCCTATTTGGGGTTCTTGCTATCCCAAAGGGACCTCTCCTTGTTCATCGTTCTCTTCCACCACGCTGACGTCTCTCCAACATGCTTGCTACAGAGGCAGATCCCCCTGATATAGATTAGTGTATCAGGAAATTTACACTAACTGAATCAGTGTACTGGAATTTTTAGGCTATTGCCAGCAGTGTATGAAAAGTTTTACCCTAAGGGTCAGGGTACACTAGGCCAGAATAGCCTGATACGACAGGGTGAACCAAAACCAATTTTGGGCCCTGCGTGACCGGTAGTAGTAATCTTAGGATCACCACCTATCAACCCCAAAAATTTAAAGAGCAAACTTGGGCATGATCAATGCTACGGTACAACCAAAAGAATATCCATCAAGAAAGATCCAACAAGAGAGAACCCTAATCTTTAGGGTTTTGGAGGTGGACCATTCCAAATGCGGTAGTATATTCGTCACTGCTATAGTGTATCTCCAGAAGGTGTTCATTATGTTTTTTGGAGCAACCCAAATTAACCACAATTCCGACGAATCTGATGATTTGTTCCAAGTCTGACACCAAGACCACGTCAGGTCTCAAATTTCGATTCTCTACTATCTGACGTGCAAGCGCATACGAACGTGCTAGAACACTAAGATATACAGCAAGTGGGGTCTTAAAAAAAAAATATAGGAACAAAAAAAGGGTCCTCCTCGTATACCTTACATATACAACAATAAAAGAACACCTTCCGGATATGAAACATGGCATGAGACTCTCTTTCCGGCAGGTCCTGTATGGGGGTGATTTGTCAGAATGTTATCTTTGTTCTCTAGCCTGCAGTGGGGTACTCTATAGCGAGTACAACCCCTTAGGGTTTCCTATATGTATCCTGTTGCTTGCTAGTGCATCTCCCTCTTTTGCCTAAACTATTCTTGCCTAGCTAGGAAAGACCTAGCTATGGCTCCTACTTCTAACTACCTATTTTCACATGGTTATCAGAGCAGTAAGCTCCTGGCCTGTGGGCCCCACCACACTCCTTCCGCTGCAACTTCTACTCTCCCTTTCCGCCGTGCGCCCCGAGGCGCGCGGCGGGTTACTGCCCCGTCACGCCGCGCGCCGCTCCCGGGAGGTGCTGTGACGGGCGACGGGGACCTCCGCGTCGCCCCCCGTTGCCCGTCGTGGCCTGCGCGCGGCCCGTACAGCCTGCGCGCGGCACGTACGGGCCACGCGAGACTCGTCCGCGGCCCGTACGGGCTGCGCCAGGCCCGTGCGCGGCCCGTACGGGCTGCGCCAGGCCCGCGCGCGGCCCGTACGGGCTGCGCCAGGCCCACGCGCGGCTCGGGCCGCCTGCACGCGGTTTGGGCGACTGTGCCAGGCCCGTGGGCGGCCCTTTCCTCGCTGTCCCTGCCCTCCCTGCTGTCCCCCGTGCTTCTACTGGCGCCCCACCCCTCCTACTCCCCATTCTCCTGCATTAGGGTTTGGGGGTGAGGGGTAAGGGGGTGAGCCCACTGTGTGCCGTTCCCTGCTCCTCCTCCTCCTCCGTCTCCTTGTGCTGCAGCTGCCGCTGAGGGGGGGTGGAATTGTTGGAGCCGGTGGAGTGGTACTAAGGGGGGGTGAAGGGGGAGTGGAGCTAGGGGTGTAGCAGCGGGTGTGTGTCAGGGGGAGTGGGATAGTTTGGGGAAGCTGAATGGAGGTTGCCGTCGTGTCGCCAGCAGCACCTGTAGTCCGGGGAGTTGCTCCGGTAGCCCAGTCGTAGCCACCTGTGCCAGTCGCCCGTGGGTCCATTGCTCGTCTGCCGCTACTTTTAGCCGCGGGGCCAGTTACTCCAGTAGTCCGGAGCGCTGTTCCGGTAGCCGCTGTGCCAGTGTGCCTCCTGTTGCCCGTGTGTCTGCAGCTTCAGCCGTCGCCTCCTATCTCCTCTCCTCTCACTGTCCCTCCTCCTCCTCACTTGCCCGTTGTGACTACAACTAGCTTTGCTCATAATTGTGAACTTAAACTATTGCTTCTTGAACTTGTGCTCAGAATGTGTGGTGACATTGTGATCCACCCTGAGCTTGTTCTGTTTTGCTTGCTCTGCTGATTACACCCCACTTTGGCTCTGGGGGTGTGTCAGAATGTTATCTTTGTTCTCTAGCCTGCAGTGGGGTACTCTATAGCGAATACAACCCCTTAGGGTTTCCTATATGTATCCTGCTGCTTGCTAGTGCATCTCCCTCTTTTGCCTAAACTATTCTTGCCTAGCTAGGAAAGACCTAGCTATGGCTCCTACTTCTAACTACCTATTTTCACATGATTACGGCACCGTCATCGCCCGGACCGGATATAAGACATATATGTCTTATCTTATACACTAGAAATTATGCTTGGGTTTTGTATTTGGGACGATTTAGAGTGTCTTACACCAGTAAATCTTATAAATGGACAAAGAACCGTTTAGAAGATACCCCCTCCTTATGAGGTTACCCCGAAACCCTACTACGGTATTGTTGAGAAGACACCCCCTCCCTCGAACACACCTACAGGTGTCTTATAATCATGAACACCCATTTATAAGAGACACCCGTTTTAAAGACTGTCAGATTATAATGCTTGTCTAGTCTGTAGTGGGGTACTCAAAAGTGAGTATAACCCTTTTGGGCTTGCTACTTGTATCCCCCTCCTTTCTAGTTCAAACCTTCTTCTTCTATTTCTCTTTCATATAACCTAAAACCTAGCATTGGCTTCTTAGCCTAAGCTCCTATCTCAACATGCTATCAGAGCATTACGCTCCTGGCCTGTGGGCCCACCTGCTTCCGCTGCCCTACTGTGTGTCGCGTGCCCTGTGGCGCGCGACCTCCTATTTTTCTTCCCGCCACGCGCTCGGAGCGCGTCGGGGCGCACGGCGGGTTCCTGCTTCGTGCGGTGCCCTGCGGGTCCGCGCGCCGGCCCCTCCCGTCACCTCGTCGCGGCGTCTTGGGGGCCCACGCGCCGGCCCCGACCGTCGCCTTGTCGCGGCGTTTTGGGGGCCCGCACGCAGGCCTCTCCCGTCGACTCGTCGCGGCGCTTTCGGGGCCCGCGAGCCGGCCCCTCCCGTCGCCTCGTCGCGGCGCCTTGGGGGCCACGCGCCGGCCCCAACCGTCGCCTCGTCGCGGCACCTTGGGGGCCCGCGCGCGGTCCCCTTTCGTCGCCCGTCGAGGCGCTCTCGGGGGCCCGCGCGGCTCCCTAGCTCGTCGCCCGTCAGGGCGCCCTGGGGGTCGCGCCCTTCCCCTCCCCTCCCTCCTACTTTTCACCTGCAGCAGCAGCCCCTGGAGCAGCCCGCACCTGCAGCAGCCGCCCTTGGAGCAGCCCTCACCTGCAGCAGCCGCCCCTGGAGCAGCCAGCAACTGCAGCAGCCGCCCCTGGAGCAGCCCGCAACTGCAGCAGCCGCCCCTGGAGCAGCCCTCACCTGCAGCAGCCGTCCCTGGAGCAGCCAGCAACTGCAGTAGCCGCCCCTGGAGCAGCCCGCACCTGCAGCGGCCGCCCTTGGAGCAGCCCGCACCTGCAGCCCGTCCCGTTCCCCCCCCCCCCCGTGCATTCCGTGGTGCTGGGGGTGTGGGGTGCCGAGCATGGGGGTGGCGGGTGTGGGGGTGGCGGTTATATGTTCCTCCCCTTGCTCCTCCTCCTCCCTTGTCTCCCACTGCTGCAGCTGTCGCTGAGGGGGGTGGGTGTGTGGGAGCCTAGGGTTTAGGGTTTAAGGGGGGTGCTGTGGGAGTGGAGCTAGGGTTTGAACAGGGGGTGTGTGAGAGGGGAGTGGGGCAGCTGGGGGAGGTTGTGTGAAGGTAGCTGTCGTGTCGCCTGCAGCGCCTGTAGTCCGTCGCCCTTGCTTCGGTAGCCAGTGAGCCTGTTGCACCAGTCGCCAGTGGGTCCGTTGCTCCTGCCGCTCGTCTATAGCCGCGGAGCCAGTCACTCCAGTAGTCCGTCACCCTTGCTTCGGTAGCCACTGAATCAGCCGCTCCTGTGCCCGTGCCTCTGCAGCTTTAGTCGTTGCCTCGCATCTTCTCTCCCTCCACAGTCTCTCCTCCTCACTTGCCCTCTGTGATAGCTTCTAGCTTTGCTTATCATTGTGAACTCTTGCTCTATGCCTGCATGCTGTACTGATTATACCCCACTTTGACTACTGGGGTGTGTCAGATTATAGTGCTTGTCTAGTCTGTAGTGGGGTACTCAAAAGTGAGTATAACCATTTTGGGCTTGCTACTTGTATCCCCCTCCTTTCTAGTTCAAACTTTCTTCTCCTATTTCTCTTTCATATACCCTAAAACCTAGCTATGGCTTCTTAGCCTAAGCTCCTATCTCAACAAAGACACCCCCTGTATTCTATTCAACACTGTCTTATATCCGGGTGATATGACGGTACTAGAATCTGCAACTCTTTGAGTCAGGTAGTTCTGGGCGAGCAACGTGGTTCAGAAGCGTGGCGTGGAACCCGGTTTGGCCCTGCAAGTGGCACCTGCACCGCTATGTCAGCCCTGCATGCACTCCACTGCCCTTCCACATGCGCACATGCTGTCTGCAACGTGCCCTTCACATCCCTGTTGCTCCCCCTCATGCCCCTAGCAAGCGGGGGCGCCAATGTGGGCGGCGATCTGCAGAAGGTGGTCTTCTAGCAATTCCAGAAGCCCCCTCTCCACCACCACCCTCTCCACCACCGCCCTCTGCTGCACTGCCTGCATTCGCTCTCCTCCCTCCCCTCCACTCGCCCCTCCTGTTGCCGACGTCCCTCTCCCCTGACCCCTTGTCGTGGCCAGTGCCGACCGCACGGCAGCGAGGCGGATGGCAACTCTTGGATCATCCATCACACCCACCTCTGCTGCTGCCGCGCCTGCAGCAGCTCCTGAGACGCATCCGGCAGCAAAGGGATGATTGCCAGCAGCGGCGGCAGCAGCAGCAAGGGCAGCATGACCGGCACTCACGCTCCTCCTCCCATCCACCTGCTCCTCTCCCCCCCTCACGCTGCCGCCACAACCCGCACCATGCCCCCCCAGGCTTCTCCTCCTGGCCTTGCCAGGTGAGGGCGAGAAACCAGAGGGCAGCAGGCGGGCGGCAAGGCCAGCGCTGGTGGTGCGCGGCAGAGCGGCGGAGGGGCTGCTGCTGCCCGCCCCCATGCCCGCCCCCATGCCGCGCTGCCCCTCCATCAGCTCTGCACTGCGCTTCCGACTCACCCGCCTGCCATCCCACCACGCACCCCATTCCCCTCCGCCCTGCTCGTCCCCCTCATCCGCCACATCACCCCTCGCCACGTCATCGTCCAGGTCAGCATCGGCATCGCTGCTGGCGAGTGCGCTGGAGCGGGCGAGCGGGGAGGAGGTGGCGGCGAAAAGCGTGTCCCCGGGGTCGTCCTCCTCGTCGCACATCAGCGCCCGCGTGCCCGGCGACACCGACCGCTGCTGCCGCCCCTCCCCCCCCTCCTCCTGCTGCTCCTGTCCCCCGCTTCCTACCTTCCCACTTTCCACCACTTCCTCATCCCGTTCTCCCTCCGCCACCTCGCCCTCCGCCAAGCTCCCAGCCGTTACCCTCCGCTCTCCCCTCTCCTCCTCCTGCACTGGTCTCCCCTCACCGCTACCCTCCTCCTGCATGCTCACCTGCATGCTCACCTCCTCACCGCCCTCCACCTGCTTCTCCTCTGCATGCACTGCCTGCCCTCTCTCTTCCTGCGCTGCCGTGGCCCCGCCACCTGCCAGCATCACATCGGCCACCGCCTTCGAACCTTCAATGCCACCACCAACGGATGTAGCAGCAAGACGCGACACCGTGGGACCCAGCAGCACGCGAGTCAACTCACACGCCTTCTCCGCTGCACCCACGCCCACCTCCTCGTCCACCTCCACGCCCACCTCCTCGCCCACCTCCTCGCCCACCTCCTCGCCCACCTCCTCGCCCACCTCCACTATCACCCCACCCTCTTCCAAACAAGGCTCAATCTCACCTTTCTTCTCGCTCTCTCCCTTCTTTTCACATTCGCCCTTCTTCTCACTCTCTCCCTTCTCACTCTCTCCCTTCTCACTCTCTCCCTTCTCATTCTCACCCTTTTTTTCACAGTCACCATTCTTCTTACTCTGACCCTTCTCACTCTCACCCTTCATCTCACTCTCTCCCTTCTTCTCACTCTCGCTCTTCTTCTCAACCTCGCCCTTTTTGCTCCTGCCGCCAATCTCGCCCTCACAGTCACTCTTGTCCGGTGCACATGCCCACTCCTCCTTCACACGGAAAGCACCAGCACCACCCCCCTCACCACTTGCGCCCTCACCCACCCCTCCCACCTCCCCCACAGAACCCCCCTGCCTCTGCGATGGAGACTCAGCTCGCCCCCCCCTCTCTTCTGTGCCGCGCTGCTCCGCCTTGCTCTCACCACACCCCACTTGCTCCCTGCACCCCACACCCGCACTCCCCACGCACACAGTGCTCACCACCTCATCTTTCCCCCACACCACCGCACTTGACTTCCCGCTTCCCTCGCCCACCACCACGTTTCCTTCTTGGGCCTCACCAAACTTGCTATCTTCTCCTCTTTCCTTCTCCTTCCTTTCGATCTCTTCTCTCTCCTTTCTTTCATTCTCTACTCCCTTCTCTTTACCTCCGCCATCCTTCCCTTCTCTCTCCGTCCATTTTCTTCTCTTTCCATCTCTTTCTTTCCCTTCTCTCTCATTCCCTTCTCTTCTCTCCCCCTCTTCGTCCGTCCCTCCTCGTTCCTTCGAGTCTCGCTGCTTTCCTTCTCTATCCTTTCCTTCTCTATCCTTACCTTCTTTATCCTTACCATCTCTCTCCTCCCCTTCCGTTTCCTCCCCTTCCCTTTCCTCCCTTTCCCTTTCCACACCCCCATCCCTCTCCTCGTTTCCTACCCTGTCTATCTCCTTCTCATCCTCTGCGTTACCAGGGCTACTGTCACCAAGCATGCCTGTCACCGCCTCATCCGCCCTCGCGCCTCCACCCGCGCCTCCCTCTCTCGCCTGCCCCTGCCCTTGGCGATCACCGTCCGCCTCACTCCCCTCCCCCCCACCGTGCCCCGCCAGTCCACCCATGCTCTCCGCTTCCACCGCCCTGCTCTCCGCTTCCACCGCCCTGCTCCCCTCCCCTCGCCCGCCCTGCCCCTCTGCCCTCTCACTCGCCCCCTTGCAGCAATCCCCCACCTCGCCTGCACTGCCTGCTCGCTCACACTCTGCCCAAGGAGCAGCAGACACCTGAGGAGCAGCAGACACCTGAGGAGCAGCAGACACCTGAGGAGCAGCAGACACCTGAGAAGCAGCAGACACCTGAGGAGCAGCAGACACCTGAGGAGCAGCAGACACCTGAGGAGCAGCAGACACCTGAGGAGCAGCAGACACCTGAGGAGCAGCAGACACCTGAGGAGGACCAGACACCTGGGGGCCCTGGAAGCCGAGCTTGACTGTGGCGGTGGGGCTGTGGGGGGGGCTCTGCTGTGCGGGCGCGTGCGGAGAAGGCTCCTCTGCTGCAGCGCGTGCCTCAGCTGCCTCTGCTGCCTCTGCTGCCTCAGCTGCCTCAGCTGCCTCTGCTGCCTCTGCTGCCTCTGCTGCCTCTGCTGCCCGCACTGCCTCTGCTGCCTCTGCTGCCCGGACTGCCTCTGGCTCCGGCCGGGTGGACACTGCTGGAGAGGTGCACGCGCACACGCACACAGGCAGGCACACGCGGTGAGAGGGCAAGGGGGAGAGACAGCGTTAGACTAAAGAGCCCTATGCCCTCTGCCATCCGCCATCGCACTTCAGGACTCTGTGCTCTCTTCACAAACCCATTCGGCCTTCGGCCGAGTCGGCTTGTGCAGCGGCGTGTGCGCTGCCTGCGCCACACGTGAGGGGAAGGCAGGGAGTATGAGAAAGGCAAGAGCACAGATTGAGCACGTGAGCACGATGAGGACGGCCAGCAGGCTACAATGAGCTCGCAGCACGGATACCACCCGTGGGCTCACGGGTGGTGGAGAAGCAACACGGCCGTGCTGGAGTGAAGGTGAGCTGGGAGCGGACCGGCGTAACAGCATCTTCAGACACGATGACCGATAAGAACTCATCAATGACAGCGGCGCGGTGTTCAACGACAGCGATGACTGCCGCATGGAGACCACAGCCGGCGGCTACGTCGCGAGCATCCTCGGGCCCGTGGTGGAGAAGGTCGGTCCACAGCACAGCACATGGTGGCGTTGTGCACGCGCGGTGGGTCCAAGTACTCAGTGGGTCCAAGTACTCAGTGGGTCCAAGTACTCAGTGGGTCCAAGTACTCAGTGGGTCCAAGTACTCAGTGGGTCCAAGTACTCAGTGGGTCCAAGTACTCAGTGGGTCCAAGTACTCAGTGGGTCCAAGTACTCAGTGGGTCCAAGTACTCAGTGGGTCCAAGTACTCAGTGGGTCCAAGTACTCAGTGGGTCCAAGTACTCAGTGGGTCCAAGTACTCAGTGGGTCCAAGTACTCAGTGGGTCCAAGTACTCAGTGGGTCCAAGTACTCAGTGGGTCCAAGTACTCAGTGGGCTGCCAGGAGGAGTTGACGGTGGAGTGGGCGCACATTCAACACGTGCCGTGCGCCACCCACGTTATGGACCTCCTCATGGAGGACGTCGGCAAGATGGGTTGGGCTAAGAAGGTCGTGGACACAGTACATTGCTAAGAAGGTCGTGGACACAGTACATTGCTAAGAGGGGAATGATGGGAATGAGAGCGAGGACGTCTTGATTGCACTGCAGGGCGGCGTGAGGGCATTTCTGGATATGACGGGAAGTTTTGGGATGGGGGATGCAATTGCACAGAGGAAAATGGTCAAGGAGGGCACGTATGACATGGTCAAGCGGTGGCAGTGGCACGGCACTGACGCACCACAGCTGGCAGCCCTCACCATTAGGACTCTCTCTCAGCCCGTGTCGGCTTCATCATGTCAGCGGGGATGGGCAACATGGGATTCAGTGCGCAACCGACTTGGCTCTGCCGGGATCAGGTTTTCGTTGCGCACAACTGGAACGTTGTGCGCCACTGGCACGTTGTGCGCCACTGGCACGTTGTGCGCCACTGGCACGTTGTGCGCCGCTGGCACGTTGTGCGCCACTGGCACGTTGTGCGCCACTGGCACGTTGTGCGCCACTGGCACGTTGTGCGCCACTGGCATTCCCGCGAGGATGCGATGCCGGGTGTGGTGCTCGGGAACATGCCGGAGCCTCCCGTGCCCGAGGGCTATAATATGGTGGAGGGGAAGGAGGAGGAGGAGGAGGAAGCGGAAGATGGCATTCTAGAGGATGAGTATGAGTAGGTGGCATAACTGATTCTTGGGTGAGGAGTCGCATGAGTAGTAGTATGAATGAGATGAGTAGTTGTCATTGTACTCTTGTTGGTACAAAAATATGAGTCGGGAAAAAAAACCAGAAAAACAACCCCTGTGGAAACTGACCCCTGAAGTACATCAGGGGGGAATTCTTCTACCTGCCCGTACTTTTTTTAACCTGCCCGAAATAGAGTATCCCCGGTTTCGGGACCTTAGCGTATAGAGTATAAACGCAAGCAGATATACGACACGCATATATACGCTATACGCGTATATGCCAACGTAGAGGGAGCCCGTGATGTGATGGCGCTCCTGCAGCTGCCTGCGTGCATGTGAGTGCAGCGCTGGGTTGTGAGTGCAGCGCTGGGTTGTGAGTGCAGCGCTGGGTTGTGAGTGCAGCGCTGGGTTGTGAGTGCAGCGCTGGGTTGTGAGTGCAGCGCTGGGTTGTGAGTGCAGCGCTGGGTTGTGAGTGCAGCGCTGGGTTGTGAGTGCAGCGCTGGGTTGTGAGTGCAGTGCAGCGCTGGGTTGTGAGTGCAGCACTTGGTTGCGTGGCTTCGACAGCACTCACCAGCTCTGGTCTTCAATGCAATCACACGCAACTCATAATACGGACCGGTTGAGAGAGAGGGCGAAGGGAGAGCGCAGACGGAGAGCGCAGACGGAGAGTGCAGACGGAGGGTGCAGACGGAGAGCGCAGACCATAACAAGGCCGATTGGAAGGCAGAATAAGCATTTCGCATTCCAAGCGAGCGACGAGCGTGCGAATGGGTGGCAAGAGAGGCATACGAGTGACTTGTGATATGCCACTCACTGCTCGCGGTGTACTCGTGCTGCACGCCCCACGCCAGCGCCGCCATGAGCATGCACGTTCGCCGCACCGCCCATGAGGAGAGGGGCGAGCGCGCCGAGGGGGAGGGCAGGGCGGGCGAGGAGGGCGCGCGGGAGGGGGAGAGGCCCACCATGGGGGGGTGCGGGGGGGGCGACCTGGGGGGCATGTGGGGAGGGGGGGGTTGGGCCAGCAGGGGTTCGAGGAGACAGGGTGAGTGAGAGGAGACAGGGTGAGTGAGAGGAGACAGGGTGAGTGAGAGGTGGCATGGACAAAGGGACGAGGGGATGGAAAGGAGATGAAAGGGGCGGGGAACTGAGGGAAGCTTGAGGAGAAAACGATAAAACCGCGGGAGATGGACGAAAAGCCAATTCTGAACGGTTGGCCGTATTGCGTGTGTGCAATGGGCGCGCTGCACTTGGTGAAACCAATGAGCTCATGTGGGTGTGGTTGCTCTGCTCTCCCTCCGCCCTCCTCTGTATATATGACCCACCATCGAATCGAGCTGAGCTGTGCAACAGCCACATCATCCCACATGCTTCCAAACCTGCATTCCCGTGATACTCACTCAAGGGAAACACACCGTTTGCTGCCCACACCTCACTCCCTCCCAGCTCAGCCAGCGCGTACCTCAAGGCGGCAGGAGGGTGCATGTGCATGGTGCTGCCCTCGGGACTCCCTCCCGCCACCACATGCCCACCCGCGTGCCCCCCACCCCTCCCATCCCATGCCCCGCCCATCCCACCGCCCATGGCACCCCCAGCAGCAGCAGAAGCAGCATGGGCAGGCACAGGGGAGTGGTGGGGGCGAAAGGGAGGGTAGGAGTGCGAGTGAGCGAGCGAGTGAGAGGGTGTGCGAGCATGTGCGTGGGCGTGCGGGGATGTGTGGGAGTGCAGGCCAGGGCGTGCAGCAGGAGGCGTGAAGGCGGACGCCTTGGTGGGGGTGACCATGCGCTGGTAGGCTGACATCTGGGGGGGGATGAGAGGGGAGATGGAGGGGAACACGGGGGAAGGAAGTGAGGGGTACGAGAGAGGAGAGCGGAAGGGGGCTGGGAAAGGTGGAAAGCGAGAGGAAGGAGAAGCGGTGGCAATGCGAGGGTGTGGTGCCTGCACTGCGGTCCCTCCCGCACCTCAAACTTGATGGGCGTGACGGCAGCGGCAGCAGCAGCAGCAGCAAGGCCGGCAACGACGGCCTGGCGGTCGAGGCTGCCATCGTAGTTCTTGCAGTCGGCGCACTTGCAGTTGGCGCCGCACAGCACGTTGGCCTGGAAGCACTCGCAGTACTTCTTCAGACACCCGCTCTTGCGGCAGTGGCACCCCGCGCGGTGCCGCCCCGCCACCGGCGTGTGCACGCGCGCCGCCTCGCCCTGCTGCCAGGGGGGGGGTGTGAGTGGGGGGTGGGACGCATTGGAAAGGAGGGACTGGGTAGGGGCAGGGCAAAGACGATTGGGGTTGAAGGGGGTGTGCACATGCTGTGGGAGGCGGGTTTGGAATATGGTTTCTATACAGTACGTTCTTCAGTCGTGGAAGCCTTGCTTTCTACGTTCCCTCTTCACGTGACGGGCTAAGCAAACAAGGCCGGCGATAAGAGCAGTGAGTTGGATGTGCTGCTAAGAGCAGTGAGTTGGATGTGCTGCTAAGAGCAGTGAGTTGGATATGCTGCTAAGAGCCTACAGCCACGAGAGAGCTCAACTCTTATCGCCGGCCTTGTTCGCTTAGTTAGTCTGCCAGGTACAGAAGGAACATAGTGTGGTGCAGCGAGTATGGTGCAGCGAGTGTGGTGCAGTGAGTGTGGTGCAGTGAGTGTGGTGCAGCAAGTGTGGTGCAGCAAGTGTGGTGCAGCAAGTGTGGTGCAGCGAGTGTGGTGCAGCGAGTGTGGTGCAGTGAGTGTGGTGCAGTGAGTGTGGTGCAGCGAGTGTGGTGCAGCGAGTGTGGTGCAGTGAGTGTGGTGCGGTGAGTGTGGTGCAGCGAGTGTGGTGCAGCGAGTGTGGTGCAGCGAGTGTGGTGCAGTGAGTGTGGTGCAGCAAGTGTGGTGCAGCAAGTGTGGTGCAGCGACTGTGGTGCAGCGACTGTGGTGGTGCGCAGAGTGGGAGAGCAAGGGGGCGCTGTGAGGGGGGGTGAGAGGGCGCACCGAAGCGGGGGCGTGGGAGGGGCTGTGGGGGGCGATTTTGGGGCGGAAGGCGTTGGGGTTGCGGTCGAGCACGGCGAGCACGGCGTCGTGGCGCTGCGCCTCGTTGGCAGGCGAGTTGCAGCAGTTGACGCAGTTGCACCCCTCGCAGTACAGCCCCGCCGCAAAGCACTCGCAGTACCTGCCAGCCACCACGGAGTAGAACCGAGGAGGTTGGGGATAAATAGGAAGCTCATTGCAGGCATGGCCCTGCCGTGCCAGCACAAGAAAGCCAAAGCCCTGTCCCGCTGCTCTCCACCCATCTAAAATGGCAGACACAGAAGGATGCAGGTGGTGCACGAGCAGGGCAGGTGGGCGGAGGGCTTACAGCTTGAGGCAGCGCGAGTTGCGGCAGTTGCACGAGCGCTTGCGCGGAGGCGTGCCTCCCCCGGGACCCCCCGTTGCCTCCCGTGCCGCCGCCGCTGCCAGCACGGCTGCTGCCGTGGCCGCGTCCTTCCTGTCTGCCCGCGGCTTCCTGCTGCCCCTGTGTGGGGTGGCGCACACACACACGCGCAGGGGAGGGGTGGGGCACGCAGGGAGGGCGAGGAGGGGGTGCAAGGCGAGGAGGGGGTGCATGGCGAGGAGGGGGGGCATGGCGAGGAGGGGGGGCATGGCGAGGAGGGGGGGCATGGCGAGGAGGGGGGGCATGGCGAGGAGGGGGGGCATGGCGAGGAGGGGGGGCATGGCGAGGAGGGGGGGCATGGCGAGGAGGGGGGGCATGGCGAGGAGGGGGGGCATGGCGGGTGAGTGAGAGCGTGCCAGATGCACGTGGTAGCGTCCGAGGGGTGATTGTGGGGCAGCAGCACACATGAGAGCGACGGAGAGGACTGAAGGCAACGCATGCAGGATGAAGGGCAGCAGCGAACAAGAGGAGAGGCGAGGGGGGGGGGGGGGGGGGGGGGGGCAACAGGAGAGGCAGGAGCGCACGTGGTGAAGGGCGAGGAGGACGGCAGCAGGGGCGGAGCAAGCGGCAGGGGGGCTGGCAGGGTGAGGGGCACTGCGACGGGCACAGGCACACCCATGGCCATGCCCGCTGGCATGGGCGCGCACTGCGCTGATGGCACTCCCAACACTGCCGCCTGCGCTGCTGCTGCTGCTGCTGCTGCTGCTGGGGATGCTGCTGCTAGGAGCGATGCTGGTGATGATGACGCTGGGGCTGCTCCTGCTGTGTGCGTGGGTGCTGCTGCTGCTGCTGCACCCGCCGGTGGTGGGGTGAGCAGGGATGCCATGCTCGCTTCACGTGCCGAGCCGCCTGCAGGCACGGGCGCAGGCACGGGTTGGGGCAGCGGAGGTTGCAGCATTTCCTGCACGCTCCGGCTGTGCAGCAACCCCTCACCCGCTGCTACTCCCATTTGCTGCTGCTTCTGCTGCTGCTGCTGCTGCTGCTGCTGCTGCTGCTGCTGCTGCTGCTGCTGCTGCTGCTGCTGCTGCTGCTGCTGCTGCTGCTGCTGCTGCTGCTGTCGTTGCTTTTCGCTTGCTTCCCGCACATCACCACCGCCTGCCATGCGCCCTGCTGTCTCCGCCGCCACACCCTGCCTTCTCCGTGCGCCCTCAGGGTTCGCCAAGTCTGCGGATGGTGCTAGTGACAAATGCGGCGACTGTTCCTGCGGCTGTTGAGACTGCAGTGCCGCCTGCTGCGCCGCTTGCGAATGTTGTGAGGGTTGGGAGGGTTGCGCGGGTTGCGAGGGTTGCGCGGGTTGCTGGGGTTGGGGGGGTTGCGCGAGTTGCGCGGGTTGCGGGGATTGCGCGGGTTGCGCGGGTTGCGGGGGTTGCGCGGGTTGCGCAGGTTGCGGGGGTTGAGCGGGTTGCGCGGGTTGCGCGGGTTGCGGTGGAGCAGCTCCCGCGGTGAAATCGAGGTGGCGGGGCCGCATCGTGCTCAGCTCGCACAGGCGACCAAGAGCGATGTATGACTGACAGGCTTTCGTGGAATAAATCTCGAGCCTTCTCAACACGTGTCGCGTCAAACTATTAGATCATCACGCCACCTCAAATTGAACCAAGCCTCCAGCGCACCATGACCCGGAACTATTACTACTCCTCACCGCGCCAATGCCGCACATCACAGCGCAACCGCTCTGGACGCGATGAGGAACGCTGGCGAGGAGGGAGTGCGGTGGACGACGGGAACAGGTTGGTGCGCGCTGAGATTGTTTTTTTAGGTTCAAAAAACAGTTCGACCTCGGGATGGTTACCAACTTCGTTGTGAATTGTATGGAATTTTCCTTAATTCCTTATCGGGTTGACTGCTAGGCGTACTATAAGGAATTTTCCTTAATTCCTTATCGGGTTGACTGCTACGCGTTCAGCCCGATTTTTGGACTTCCCACGTTCGGCCGATTTCAACGCTGCCGAGGCTCCTCGCGTCGCCTTCAGCATTTTCCATCGCCAAACCTGCACCCCAACCTCGCTCGTCCGAGGTTTCCTCCTAGCTAGGCTAGCTCCTACATTAGTGTGTTCCTTCATTGTATTCTCAGATCATTCAATCACAGTCTCGTTATTCGTTTACCTGCGCACTCTCTTTTACAACTCATAACACATGGTATCAGAGCTACTTTCCTAGTTCACCCCGCTTTTCCGAGGGTAGTTTGGTGGCATAGGGTGTGGCTGGTTTAGTGACTACACGACGGTTGGCCGCAGAGATTGTTAATTCAATCCTGCCCGACTCCGATAATTCGTGTTTTCACTTGCCTGAAGGTCACGGAGACCCGACTGCCCACCAGACGTAGCGCTAGGCACATGGATCAGGAGGCGGTTAACAGGATGATGGCGCAAGTGGCAAAAATGCAGGAGAGCATGAAGACATTAATGGCGGAAGTGACAACACTGCGAGAGGAAAACGCCGAGCTACGCTAGATGCGAGGTGAAGCGCGTCAGGAGTCGCCTGTGGACGAAGGCGAGGGCAACAGTCAAGCGATGAGCAATCCGCTGGATGCGCTCACACGTGACTTCGAAGAGGAAGACAGGCAGCGAGCGGCAGCAGCGCCAGTTGCAGTAACAATGATCAAGATCAAGCCCGTTAACCCACCCCCGTTTAATCCTACGGACAAGACGGTTACGGTAAAAGGGTGGCTGTTCGGGGTCGAGGTCTTATTCACTGCAGCAGGAGTTAACGACGATGCCACGCGTATTAATTACACGGTCTCGCTTCTTCGAGGTGCAGCGCTTGAGTGGTGGCGCCGAACCTTGGAAACAGGGACGCCGACAGGTGTGACGCATGCGGCAGACGGGACCTCAACAGTGATTAATCAAGTGGCACAATCAATCTTCGGAGTGACCACAATATGCACGTGGAAGGAGTGGGGCGCAGCCTTACGAGATCGCTTCGAGCACGTATCCGCCTCGGAGCAAGCTCGCATGAAGCTGCGTGCATGGTCGTAGATGGCTTTTGTCCAAGACTACACGGCGTCATTTATGGGCCTCGCCGACCAAGTTGATGATATGTCGGAAGCTGAGCGGTTAGATAAATACATCAGCGGCCTCAAATACGAGATACAGTACCAGGTTGGCAGGGGCCGCCCGACATAATTTCTTGAAGCAGTACGGCTGGCGGAGTCTACAAATGCGCTGATGCAGTACGCGAGAGCAGCTTCCCGGGAGGGAAACCGCTTTTGTGGCCGCCCTCCTAAGGGACCGTGTTACCGGTGTGGGAAGACAGGTCACTACATGAAAGACTGCCACGAGAAAACGCCGCTGACGGGGAACGACAGGAAAGAGTGTCAAACTCATATGCTATAGTCTGTATAGGCTGTAGTGGGGTAGACAATATGGGGTACAACACTTTCAGGTTTTCCTACTTGTACCCACCTGCTTGCTAGTTCATTCATTCCTCATTTCTTCACATGGTATAGAGCAGGTTCCCTAGTGGGAACTTTTCCTAGGGCCCACCACTGAAAATCGAGTTTTCTTTCTTTTTCCTGCCCCGAGATCGAGTCGCCCTTGACCGAGGCGCGCCCTGTGTGCCGCCCTCCCCTAAGCGACCTATCGCGCCGCCCTTAGCGCCCCCCCCCCCCCCCCCCCCCCCCCCTCTCACGGCCCCTCGCGACCCCGTCGCCGCCCCCTAGCGGCCCGTCGCGCCGCCCTGAGCGGCCCGTCGCGCCGCCCTCAGCGGCCCCTTGCGGCCCCACCTCCACGGCCCCGTCCCCGCCCTCACACGGCCCCGTCGCCGCCGTTCGCGGCCCCGCCGCCGCCCTTAGCGGCCGCGTCGCCGCCCGTCGCGGCCATGTAGCCGCTCCTCGCGGCCTCGTCGCCGCCCTCTCGCGCCCCCAGTGCCGCCCTCTCGCGGCCGCGTCGCCGCCCTCTTGCGGCCCCAGTGCCGCCCTCTTGCGGCCTCGACGCCGCCCTTAGCGGCCCCGTCGCCGCCCCTTGCGGCCCCATCGCCGCCCCTTTCGGCCCCTCCCCGGCCCCTTCACCGCCGAGCCGCCGAGCCGCCAAGCAGCCGAACCGCCGAGCCGCCGAGCCGCCGAGCCGCCGAACCGCCAAGCCGCCGAGCCGCCGAGCCGCCGAGCCGCCGAGCAGCCGAGCCGCCGAGCAGCCGAGCCGCCGAGCCGCCGAGGCCGCCGTCGAGCCGCCACTACTGAGCCGCTGCCGCCGAGCCGCCGTCGAGCCGCTACTGCCACTGCCGAGCCGCTGCCACCGCGGTTGCAGCCCTGTTCCTACCGGCGCGCCCCGGCCCTACCCACCCGGACTAGTGAGAGCACTCCCTGCTAGACCACTGCTGTCATGGCTACCCCCAGTGTCCTTACCTTTGATGCTGAGGGTCGTGCTGTTGACTTCGAGGTCTGGGTCGATGACCTACAGCTCTTCCTACAGTGCGATAGGGCAGACGGACTCTCCCTATTCGATCTCACCTCTGGTGCCTCTCCTGCCCCGCCTGCTGATGCTGACAGCACTGTTCGCTCACAGTGGGCCACACGCGATGCTGCTGCCCGTCTTGCTGTGCGTCGCCACTTACCAACCGCTAAGCGTGCGCACTTTAGTCAGTACAAGAGTGCTAAGACCTTGTACGACGCTGTAGTTGCACGCTACTCTTCCCCTGCCACTGCTGTTCTTAGCCGCCTCATGCTGCCATACTTGTTCCCTGACCTTGCTGCCTTTCCCACAGTCGCTGACCTCATTACGCACCTTCGCACTAGTGACACTCGCTACCGCGCTGCGCTTCCTGCTGAGTTCTGCGCCAAGAACCCTCCCCCCATGTACATCACCCTCTACTACATAGTCACCTGGATCCCTGACTCCCTTCGTTTAGTCAGGGACCACTTCCTCTCAGTTTGCCCCACCACACTCACCGTTGACCTCCTCGAGGAGCGCCTCCTGGCAGCAGAGAAGAGCATAGTCGCTGTAGGAGCCTCTCGTGGTGACCCTCGTACCCCCGTCTTTGAGGGGTGTTCCCCCTCCCCCCTCTTGCCCTCTTTTTCTTCTACTGCTGCGGCCGACCTCGTTGGCTTCGAGTCGGTCGGAGCTGCGTCTGCCCCTAGCAGGAGACTCCGCACCGGCAAGGGCAAGGGGGGCAAGGGCGCTGGAGGGGCTGGCGGGGGCGGTGGAGGTGGCGGTGGAGGCAGTGGAGGGGGTGGGGGTGGTGGTGGGAGTGGTGGCGGGGGTGGAGGTGTCGGTGGCAGCAGTGGAGGCGGAGGAGGCGGCAGCGGTGGCGTTGGGAGCGGAGGCGGCGGAGGTGGCGGAGGCGGCGGCGGCAGCGGTGGAGCTGGTTGCGGCTCTGCGCAGAGGAGTGTCTCTGGTGGTGCACCGCGCAAGCTGCAGCAGCGCACTCGAAGACCCCGTCCCCCCAGCAGCTTCGTGAGTGGTACGCTGGGCGTCAGCGAGGTGGGGGTACTGGTCCCTGTACCTACGTCCTCCGTACCGGCGACCGCGCTGGTGAGCAGTGCGGGGGCTCGCACTCCACCCAGCGCTGCTTCGGCGGCCTGACGAACGCTTTGCGTCACCAGTTCCCTGACGCCACTGAGATCCCTCGCTGAGGAGAGCTGTCTAGAGCGGGGGTTGCTATCTTTGATCTTGACTATGATGCTATACTTGCTGCCATGTATGCTGTGTCTACTAGTGATGAGGGCGTCTGTTACTTGTGTGTTCCGCCTGACCCGGACATTGGGACTGCTGCTCTAGGTGCTGGTGCGGCTGCTGCTCTAGGTGCTGGTGAGGCTACTGCTCTCGGTGCTAGTGAGTCTGCTGCCCCAGGTGCTGGTGAGTCTGCTCTCTCAGGTACCACGTCGGCTCAGGCCTCCCACACCTTCACCCTTGACTCGGGTGCTTCCCGCTCCATCTTTCGAGACCGCACCACACTCACGCCGCTCGGTCGGCCAGTGGCGGTCTCCTTGGCAGACCCCTCCGGGGGTCCTGTCCTTGCCCACTTCTCCAATGTCTTACCGTGTCCGGCGGCCCCCTCTGGCACCCTGTCAGGTCTTTACCTCCCCTCGTTCTCTACGAACTTGGTGAGTTGTGCAGATCTACAGGATGGGGGGGTTGACCAGTTCACTCCTGCGAGTCAGCGAGTGACCCACTCTACGTGTGCTCGGACGGGCCGAGACTTGGCCACGTTTACCCGTCGACCAGGGTTAAGCCTGTACACACTGACTACTGGTCATCCTCAGTCTACTGCGTCTGGTCTGGTAGCTGCGTCGGGTTAGGCGTCTGCTGCGACGTCCAGGTCTGGTCGTGAGTCTGCCCCCAGCTCGTGTCGTCTCCTGTCTCACTAGACTCTCCTCTGGCACCACCGCCTTGGTCACCCCTCCCTGCCTCGTCTCCGAGGCATGGCCTCCCGTGTCCTTGTCTCTGGTCTCCCCCCGTCCCCCCCTCCCCTCCCTCCAGGGCCTGCCCCTACTTGCGTTCCCTGCGTCAAGGGGCGGCAGCGCGCCGCCCCTCACTCCTCCGAGTTTCCTCCGACAGAGGCTCCGCTGCAGACCCTTCACATGGACGTGTGGGGCCCTGCCCGCGTCCGTGGCCAGGGTCACGAGCGTTACTTCCTGTTGGTAGTTGACGACTACTCGCGTTACACCACGGTGTTCCCCTTGCGCAGCAAGGGTGACGTCACTGGGGTGTTGATCGACTGGATCCGCGCAGCTCATCTCCAGCTCAGAGAGATTTTCGGCTCGGACTTTCCTGTTCTGCGTCTGCACTCTGACAGAGGCGGGGAGTTTTCCTCTGCCCTTCAGGGAGCCTTCTGTCGTGCACAGGGCATCCGCCAGACCTTCACGCTTCCGGCCTCTACACAACAAAATGGGATTGCTGAGCGCCGCATTGGCATGGTCAAGGACGTCGCTCGTACTTTTATGATCCATGCGGCTGCTCCCCATTTTCTGTGGCCGTTTGCGGCTCAGTACGCAGCGCATCAGATCAACCTTCAGCCCCGGGTCTCTTTGCCAGAGATCTCCCCCACCTTGCGGTGGACGGGGAAGGTTGGCGATGCGTCTGCGTTTCATGTCTGAGGATCTCGGGCTTTTGTCCTCGACTTGTCTGCGGACAAGCTGTCCCCCCGTGCGGTTCCCTGCGTCTTCCTTGGCTTCTCCCCTAACGCGCCTGGCTGGCAGTTTTACCACCCCACCTCGCGCCGTGTTCTGTCCTCCCAGGACGTCACGTTTGACGAGTCGGTTCCTTACTACCCTCTCTTCCCCTACCGCACTGCGCCCCTCCCCCCGCCGCCGCTCTTCCTTGCGCCAGGTCCCCCCCCGGTAGACCCCCTTCCCCCTCAGGGTCCTGCCCCGTCAGGTGTGTCCCAGGTAGACGCACTCGAGCCTGTCGAGGTAGCTGTTGACTTTGGTACTGGTAGGGGTGCTGAGCTTGGGGGTGCTGAGTCTGGGGGTGCTGAGCCTGGGGGTGCTGATTCTGGGGGTGCTGGGCCTGGGGGTGCGGAGCCTGGGGGTACGGAGCCTGGGGGTGCGGAGCCTGGGGGTGCGGAGCCTGGGGGTGCGGAGCTTGGGGGTGCTGAGCCTGGGGGTGCTGAGCCTGGGGGTGCTGGGTGTGCTCGTGTGGCCTCTGGCGGTGCTGGGTGTGGGGCCCCTTCAGGTGCTTCGTCGAGGCGGGAGCTACCCTCTCCACAGGGGCTGCGCGAGTGGTTTGCCCGGCGCTGGAGCCGTGCTGCTGGAGCTGATGGTCCTACTAGAGTTGGTGCTGCTGGAGCTGGAGCTGCTGGGGGTGTTGACGCTGGAGGTGCTGTTGGCGCTGGTGCTTCTGAGGGTGCTGGAGTTGGCGTTGTTGGAGCTGGAGGTGCTGCTGGCGCTGGTGTTGCCGCTGGGGGTACTGGTGCTGTCCCTGCTGGTTCTGGAGGCGCTGCAAGGCCGCGGCCGTACTTTGTTCCGCTCCTTGAGCAGGTTCTTGGTCTCCCGCCCTCTACTGGTCCTGCTCCTCCCTTAGAGCGTCCACAGCCTGTCCAGTCGCGGTCACAGTTACAGCCCGCCTCCCCCCTACCTGCTCCTTCTCCCTACACTGGTCCTACTGGAGGTCTTGCTGAGCGTCGTGAGGCTGCGTCTCGTCCTGCGTCGCCTGTTCGTGCTGCTCGCACTAGTAGTCCTGCTCCGCGTCAGTGTCCTCCTGCGATCCCAAGCACACACCAGATGGCACTGCGTCCTTCCACTGCTCCTCTGCGTGTCCCGTTGCCGTCTCCTCCAGAGTCCTCTCTTCCTGCTTTTGCTGACCCGGAGTCTGACTCTCTTCGTGCTGCCAGTCCTACTGTGACGCGTCTCCTGGCTACTGTTGTCATTGACCCTTCCTTTGAGTCCACTGCTGCGTCTGCCTTGGTTGCTGAGCTTGTCGACTTTGCTGCTCGCTGTCGTCTAGACTATGCTGCTGGTCTTGTTGCTGAGTCTGAGTCTGTCTGTCCTCCGTCCGTCGGGGGTGAGTGTGCTCTTAGCACGGACGTCCTTGAGGACAGGCAGGAGGAGTTCCAGTGTTTTGCTGCTGCTTTGCCTCATCTTGTGTCCACGCTGATTGCCCCTGAGGGAGACCCGGATGCACCAGACATCCCGACTCCTCGATCGTGCGCTGAGGCGATCGAGGGTCCCTACTCCTCTCAGTGGCAGTCAGCCATGGACGCAGAGATGGCTTCCTGGAAGTCCACAGGCACCTACGTCGACGAGGTTCCCCCACCTGGGGCGAACATCGTCAGTGGCATGTGGATTTTCAGGGTGAAGCGGGAGCCGGGTTCTCCGCCTGTCTTCAAGGCGCGTTACGTGGCTCGAGGCTTCAGTTAGCGGCAGGGAGTTGACTACTTTCAGACCATCTCTCCCACCCCGAAGATTACCACTCTTCGGGTGCAGCTGCACATAGCCGCTCAGCGCGGCTACGAGCTTCACTCTCTTGACTTGAGCACAGCTTTTCTGCAGGGCAGCCTGCACGAGGAGATCTGGCTGCGCCGCCTACCTGGCTTCACTGGGTCGTTTCCCCCTGGTACCCAGTGGAGCCTCCGGCGGCCAGTCTACGGTCTCCGCCAGGCGCGCCGTGAGTGGCACGACACACTGAGGACTACACTTGCGGCTCTTGGCTTTGCTCCTTCTACTGCCGACCCGTCGCTGTTTCTGCGCACCGACACCTCTTTGCCGTCGTTCTACATCCTTGTGTACGTCGACGACTTGGTCTTTGCCACTTCTGACACTGGTGGACTAGCCCACGTGAAGTCCGAGCTGTAGAAGAGACACACGTGCACAGACCTGGGTGAAATGCGCAGCTACCTTGGCTTGCAGATCACCCGGGACAGAGCATAGCGCACCATTACTCTGACTCAGTCACACATGGTGCAGCAGGTCCTTCAGCGCTTCGACTTCACGTACTCCTCGCCTCAGGCCACTCCTCTGTCTACTCGCCACTCGCTCTCAGCTCTGCCTTCAGATGAGTTCGTAGAGCCGAGTGGCTTGTACCCAGAGCTTGTTGGCTGCCTCATGTACCTGATGACCTGCACACGACCTGACCTTGCATACCCTCTTAGCATCTTGGCACGCTATGTTGCTCTTAGGAGACACCGACCAGAGCACATGGCCGCAGCGAAGAGGGTGTTGCGCTACTTGTGCAGTACGTCGGGCATGGGGCTAGTTCTTGGAGGGCGACGTTCAGTGGTCCTCACAGGTCACGTAGACGCTTCTGTCTAACACTATATATGTGTTATTGTTGTGTAGGCTATAGTGGGTTAGCCTTTAGGGGGTACACAACTCTAGGGTTTCATACTTGTACTCCAATGTTGTGTACTTCTATCACTTCTTGATTCTGACATGGTATTAAGAGCTTAGGTTCTAGACCTAAGGGCCCACCGTTCCGCTAGAGGTGCCCTTGTGCGCCCTTTTTTTTAGCGCCCTCGTGCGCCTTTCCCCTAGTGCGCCCTCGTGCGCTCTCCTCTCACGCTGCCCGTGTGCAGCCCGCTAGCAGCCCGAGCGCGGCACCGCCGTTTTAGCGCGTGTAGGAAAACCGCCGCCTAGGGCGGCCCGATTTTTCTCACGAGCCCCAGCAAGCCGTCGCCCTTAGGCCTCTGCTAGCCCCTAGGCCGACGTGCGACCCACAGCAGCCCGCCCGCAGGTCGCAGCCAGCGCGCCGCGACGATCGCGTGTCGGCTGCTGCAGCGCGCGACCCACAGCCGCCGCTAGAACGCAGCCGCGGCCCGCGCGCAGTTGCACCCTAGGTGCCCCCTCGCACCCAGCCTAGGCCCGCCGTCGCGCTGCCCTACCTGCCTGACCCGCGTCGCCCGAGTCGTGCCGCCCAAGTCGCGCCGCCCGAGTCGCGCCGCCCTGACCGAGCCGCGCCGCCCTACCTGCTGCAACTGCTCTTCCTGATCCTACTGCTACTACTGTTTCTACTGCTACTGCTACTGCTACTCCTGCTACTGCCACTATGGCCAGTCCCACTGTTCTCACCTTTGACGCCGAGGGCTGCCCGATTAAGTTCGATGTCTTGCTTGATGACCTCCACCTGTTCCTCCAGATCAATGCCAAGGAGGATGTTCCTGTACGACCACACGTCAGGCGCTGCTCCCGCACCTCCCGCTACTGGTGACAGTACTGCTCCCTCCCAGTGGCAGACCCGTGATGCTCACGCCCGCCTAGCCGTTCGCAGCCACCTGCCGGTAGATGAGCGCGAACACTTCGGCCAGCATAAGACAGCTAAGGAGCTGTACGACGCAGTAGTCGCGCGCTACTCCTCCCCCGCCACTGCTGCTATAGTCCGTCTCTCACTGCCCTACCTCTTCCCCGACCTGTCCGCCTTTACCACTGTAGCTGACCTCATCACCCACCTCCGTACCAGTGACCTCCGCTACCGTGCCGCACTCCCCCCAGATTTCCTCTCCAAGAACCCCCCCCCGATGTACCTCACACTGTACCACCTTGTCACGCGCCTCCCTGACTCCCTTCGCACAGTCAAGGACCAGTTTCTCGCCCTCTCCCCCACTGACCTCACTGTCGACCTCCTCGAGAAGGAACTCCTAACAGCTGAGAAGAGCATTGTAGCTGTAGGTGCCTCTCGTGGTGACCCCCGCACCCCCTTTTTTGAGGGGTGCTCCCCCTCCCCCCTCCTCCCCTCCATTGCATCTGCTGCTCCTATCGACTTCCTCGGAGCTGAGGGGGTCGGGGCTGCGTCTGCTCCTAGTGGGAGGCGCAAGGGCGGCAGGGGCAAGGGGAGCAAGGGTGGTGGAGGTGGAGGTGGGGGCGGCGGCGGTGGAGGGGGTGGGGGGGGGCGGGGGTGGTGGCAGAGGTGGGAGTGGCGCGGGTGGTGGGGGGGTCGGTGGCGGCACAGGGGGTGGTGGCGGCGGCGGTGGTGGAGGTGGTGGGGGTGGTGGTGGCACTGGTGGCGGCGGTGGAGCGAATGGCGGGCGCGGTGGAGCGGTACAGCGTGGGGGGTTCGGCGATGGCCAGAGGCAGCAACAGCAGCGTCCCGGTGAGACTCCCTCGCCCCAGCAGCTCCGTGAGTGGTACTCTCAGCGTGGGGGGTCTGGGGGTGGGGGTACCTGCCCGTACGTCATCCGCACAGGTGACCGCACTGGCCAGACCTGTGGGAGCTTTCACACGGCACAGCGCTGCTTCTTTCGCCTCGACGACGCCTGGCTCGAGCAGTTCCGTGACGCCTCCGAGCTGCCTCGCTGGGCTGATCTGCTTAAGAAGGGAATTGATATCTTTGCTCTTGATTATGATGTTATCCTTGCTGCTATGTATGCATTGACTATTAGTGTTGAGGGTGACTGTTACCTGAGTGTGCCGCCTGACCCAGGTATTGAGACCGGTGAGGCTACAGCTCTAGGTGCTAGTGCGTCTGCTGCTCCAGGTCCTGGTGAGGCTGCTGCCCTAGGTGCTAGTGCGTCTGCGTCTGCTGGTACCGCACCTACTGACGTCACCTGGCTACCTTCACTAGGCAGCCGGGGTCGGACTTGTACACACTGACCACTGAGTCTCCTCAGATAGCTGCGTCTGCGTCTGCGTCAGGTCAGCTGTCGGCCCCCTGCTCATGTCGCTCCCTGTCACACAGGACTGTCCTCTGGCACCACCGCCTTGGTCATCCACCAGTGCAGCGCCTTCGCGGCATGCACTCCAGGTACCTTGTCTCTGGTCTTCCCGGAGTTCTCCCTCCCCTACCACCCTCGCCTGCTCCTCCCTGTCTTCCCTGTGTCGAGGGGCGGCAGCGCGCCGCTCCTCACTCCTCCTCGTTCCCTCCCACAGAGGCTCCTCTGCAGACTCTCCACCTGGACGTATGGGGCCCCGCCCGTGTCCGGGGACAGGGCCACGAGCGGTACTTTCTGCTGGTCGTCGACGACTACACGCGCTACACCACGGTCTTCCCCTTACGTACCAAGGGTGAGGTCCCTGATGTCTAGATCCCCTAGATCCGCACTGCTCGTCTCCAGCTCCGCCAGCGGTTCCAGTCGGACTTTCCTGTCCTACGCCTGCACTCTGACAGAGGTGGCGCGTTTTCCTCTGACCTCTTGTGCGGAGCATGGCATCCGCCAGACGTTCACTCTCCCGGCCTCTCCGCAGCAGAATGGGGTTGCTGAGCGCCGCATTGGTCTTGTCATGGAGGTCGCTCGTACCTCCATGATCCATGCGGCTGCTCCCTATTTCCTGTGGCCGTTTGCAGTGCAGTACACCGCGCATCAGCTCAACCTCTGGCCCCGTGTCTCTGTTCCGGAGACCTCGCCTACCCTGCATTGGACGGGGGAGGTTGGCGACGCGTTGGTGTTCCAAGTCTGGGGATGTCGAGCCTTTGTCCGTGATACGTCCGCGGTCTAACTCTCCTCCCATGCGGTTCCCTATGTCTTCCTGGGCTTTGTCCCTGACGCGCGTGGCTGGCGGTTTTACCACCCCACCTTGCGCCGTGTCTTTGCCTCTCAGGACGTCACCTTCGACGAGTCAGTACCCTTTTACCGTCTCTTCCCCTACCGCACTGCCCCGCTCCCCCCCCCGCTGCTCTTCCTCACCCCAGGTGTCCCGTCGGTAGACCCCCTCCCTCCCCAGGGTGCTGCTCCCTCAGGTGTTTCCCAGGTAGACCCGGTCGAGCCTGTCGAGGTAGCTGTTGACTCTGATCCTGCGCGAGGTACTGAGTGTGCTGAGCCTGGTGGTGCTGGGTCTAAGGGCACTGAGACTGGGGGTGCTGAGCCTGGGGGTGCGGAGACTGGGGGTGCTGAGCCAAGGGGTGCGGAGACTTTGGGTGCTGAGCTTGGAGGTGCTGCGACTGGGGGTGCTGAGACTGGGGGTGCTGAGACTGGGGGTGCTAAGCGTGGTGGCGCTCCCTCTTCACAGCAGCTGCATGAGTGGTACTCTCAGTGCTACAGCCTCCGTCGTGGGGCTGCTGGAGCTGGGGGGTCTGCTGGAGTCGGGGCTGGTGGCCTCGCAGGTGCAGTGCCGCAGCCAGAGCCTCCCTCCCCTCAGCGGCTACGTGAGTGGTACGCTCGGCGCTGCAGCCTCAGGAGTGGAGCTCCTAGCGTTGAGGTACCGCCAGCTGGAGGCCCTGCAGCAGGAGGTACTGCTGACACTGGTGCTACTAGTGGTGCTGCTGGTGCTACTGGAGGTCCTGGAGGTTTTGCTGGTACTGCTGGAGGTCATGGAGCGGCTGGAGGTGCTGCTGGTACTGCTGGAGGTTTTGGATCTGCTGGAGGTTCTGGAGTTGCTGGAGGTGCTGCTGGTACTGGTGGAGGCTCTGGAGCTGTTGGAGGTGCTGCTGGTGCTGGTTCGGCTGGAGGTTCTGGTGCTGTCTCTGCTACTTCTGGGGGCGCTTCACGGCCCCGGCCTTACTTCGTTCCGCTCCTTCAGCAGGTTCTTGGTCAGCCGCCTCCTCCTAGTCCTCCTCCCTCCTTAGAGTGTCCTTCGCCAGTCCAGTCGCAGTCCCAGCTTCCACCTGCCTCGCCACTTCCTGGTCCTTCTCCCTACACTGGTCCGACAGGCGGTCTTACAGAGCGTCGTGAGCCTGAGTCTCGTCCTGTGTCGCCTGTGTCGCGTCCTGTGTCACCTATTCGTGCTGCTCGCACTGGTCGTCGTGGTCAGCGTGAGCGTCCTCCACCTGTGCAAGGCACACACTATATGACTCTGCGTCCTTCCTCTGATCCGCAGCGTGTCCCTCTGCCGTCTCCTCCTGAGTCCTCTCTTCCTGTCCTTGCTGACCCGGAGTCTGACTCCGTTCGTGATGCCAGTCCTACTGTCACGCGTCTCCTGGCCACTGCTGTCACGGACCTTTCCTTTGAGTCTGCTGCTGCGTCTGCACCAGTTGCTGAGCTTGTCAACTTTGCTGCTCACTGTCGTCTAGACTACGCAGCCAGTCTTATTGCTGAGTCTGAGTCTGTCTGTCCTCCGTCCGTCGGGGGTGAGTGTGCTCTAGGCACGGACGTCCTTGAGGACAGACAAGAGGACCTCGAGTGTCTTGCAGCCGCTGCGCCTCATCTCGTGTCCATGCTGATTGCCCCTGAGGGAGACCCGGATGCTCCAGACAATCCGACCCCGCGCTCTTACGCTGAGGCGATCGCGGGTGAGTAATCCTCTCGGTGGCAGTCAGCCATGGATGCAGAGATGGCATCCTGGAAGTCCACTAGCACTTACGTTGACGAGGTTCCCCCTCCTGGGGCGAACATCGTCAGTGGCATGTGGATTTTCAGGGTGAAGCGGCCGCCGGGTTCTCCGCCTGTCTTCAAGGCTCGTTACGTTGCTCAAGGCTTCAGTCAGCGAGAGGGAGTAGACTTCTTCCAGACCTTTCCCCCCACCCCGAAGATGACCACTCTTCGGGTGCTACTGCACGTTGCCGCTCAGCGTGACTAATAGCTTCACTCTCTTGACTTCAGCACAGCTTTCTTGCAGGGCAGCCTGCACGAGGAGATCTGGCTGCGCCGCCCTCCTGGCTTCACTGGGTCGTTTCCTCCTGGTACCCAGTGGAGCCTCCGGCGGCCAATCTACGGTCTCCGCAAGGCGCCACGTAAGTGGCACGACACACTGAGGACTACTCTTGCGGCACTTGGGTTCGCGCCCTCTACTGCTGACCCGTCGCTGTTTCTGCGCACTATTACTTCGCTGCCGCCGTTCTACATCCTTGTGTACGTCGACGACTTGGTCTTTGCCACTGCTGACACTGAGGCTCTTGCCCACGTGAAGTCGGAGCTACAGAAGAGACACATGTGCACAGACCTGGGTGAACTGCGCAGCTACCTTGGCTTGCAGATCACCCGGGACTGAGCACGCCGCACCATCACACTGACTCAGTCACACATGGTGCAGCAGGTCCTTCAGCGCTTCGGCTTCACCTCGTCCTCAGCACAGGCCACTCCTCTGGCTATAGGTCACTCGCTCTCAGCTCTGCCTTTGGATGAGTCCGTAGAGCCGAGTGGTCCTTACCCAGAGCTAGTTGGTTGCCTCATGTACCTGATGACTTGCACTCGTCCTGACCTTACGTACCCTCTTGGCCTTCTGGCCCGCTACGTGGCTCCTAGCAGGCACCGAAAGGTGCACTGGGATGCTGCAAAGAGGGTATTGCGCTACTTGTGCAGTACATCAGGCATGGGGCTCGTGCTTGGAGGAGGGAGCTCAGTTGTTCTCACTGGGCACTCAGACGCTTCTTGGGTTGACGACTAGGCTACTCAGCGGTCGTCACAGGGTTACACCTTCAGCCTTGGCTCTGGTTCGGTTTCTTGGCGTTCTACTCTCTCGTCTTCTGTTCTCAGCTCCTGTTGTGAGGCTGAGATCTACGCCACAGCCATGGCTGCACAGGAGCTACGCTGGCTCACCTACCTGCTGACCGACTTGGGAGAGCGGCCTAGTTCTCCTCCAGTACTGTACGTCGACAACAAGGCTGCCATTGCCTTGTGTGAGGAGCACAGACTGGAGCACAGAAGGAAGCATATCGCTCTCCGTTACTTCCTGGCTGGAGAGCTGCAGCAGCGCGGCCAGCTTCGTCTGCGTTACGTGGCCACTCAGGCCAACACCGCTGATATATTCACCAAGGCACTTTAGTCTGGTGATCATCAGCGTTTCTGCAGTTTACTAGGGCTTGTGCCCACTTTTCCTCACTTGCTGTAGGCTTTGCCTGTACTGTGATCTCTATATATATATACCTGCCTGTTTGCTTTGCTAGGTTGAGATCACCTTGCAGTTTGTGTTGCATATATGCCACTGCATGTGAACTGGCCCTGAGGCCCTTTGCTTGTGCTCAGAGTGTGTGGTGACGTTGTGATCCACCCTGAGCTTGTTTGCCTTTCTTGACTGGTCTTGTGACCCATTGCTCTCCCCCACTTTGCCTATGGGGTTGTGTCAAACACTATATATGTGTTATTGCTGTGTAGGCTATAGTGGGTTAGCCTTTAGGGGGTACACAACTCTAGGGTTTCATACTTGTATTCCAATGTTGTGTAGTTCAATAACTTCTTGATTCTGACAGCTTCTAGGGCTGACGACCAGGCTACGCAGCGGTCGTCACAGGGTTACACCTTCAGCCTTGGTTCCGACTCTGTTTTGTGGCGGTCTACCCGCTCGTCTTCTGTTCTCGGCTCCAGCTGTGAGGCTGAGA